TTTTATATGACTCTTTCCTTGCTCACTATACTTTAACTATTGGAGTTCCTTTGGTTTGTTGAATTCTCCTGCCTCAGCCTCCCAAGTACCTGGGACCACAGGCATGTGCCACCACACTTGGCTATTTTTTGTATTTTTAGTAGAAACAGGGTTTCACCATGTTGGCCAGGCTGGTCTGGAACTCCTGACCCCAAGTGATCCACTTGCCTCAGCCTCCCAATGTAATCTTTCTTACCACTGGCTTTGTCCATGATGTTCTACTTCCTGCAGCATCCTTCTCTCTGTTCTTTGAAGAACTGACTCCTCAACCTTGATATGTCATCTATGTCACTTCTCAGATGCGTTCTCATACCTTCTTCCCCCACCCCCATTTTTTTAATATTATCCCTCTTTGTTTATCTCCTTCATAGCCCTAGCCACAAATCATGTTTTGCTTTTTTTTTTTTTTTTTTTTCACTGGCCTATTTTTTTTTTTTTTTTTTTTTTTTTTTTTTTTGTCACTGGCCTAATCTTTACATACCATGAGGGTAGGGAGCACAACTTCATCAGTGTAAGCTTAGCACCCAGCACAGTGACAGACAAATAACAGGCACTCAGTGTTTGTTTAATTAATCAATGATCTGGGACTCATTTATTAACTTATTAACAAACATTTATTGAGTACATCATAGACGCCAGGTATTTGTGCTGGATCCTGGATACAAAGACAAATCAGAGGCAATCTCAAGAGCTTTACAGCCTAATGGGGAACAAACACCAAGACAATACTGTGTGATAAGTGTGATGACATGGGTAAGACCACTTTTAACCAATACAGCCTTTTGGAGGGTATGTAATGGAAAATATTTCCCTGGATTCAGCTTTACTAGAACCCAAGATTAATCTAAATGTTGGTCCTGTTTTATTCATGCCAGATGGCTGAAATCACAATATCAATTACAAGGCAAGACAGATTTGCATGCAGAATATGAGGGAAACTGTGAATTACCATGTAATAGTCTAAAGCAGCTGCTTATTACTCTCGTATCTATTTGTTCCCATGAGTACATAAGTAAACTGGAAACTCGGGAAATAAACATTTCAGTTTGATCTGTCTTTAAGCAGGCACACCATATATGACAAATTTAAAATATTTTCCAAAGTTCTTACACCCATTATATCTAAATTTGATATCATCATCTAAAGATTGAAGGCACTAGACTTTAAAAAAGTACTGCTGCATTAAGAAATAGTATTCAGGGCCAGGCGCGGTGGCTCACGCCTGTAATCCCAGCACTTTGGGAGGCCGAGGTGGGTGGATCATTTGAGGTCAGGAGTTCAAGACCAGCCTGACCAACACAGTGCAACTCTGTCTCCAAAAAAAAACCAAGAAATAGTATTCATTGGCCAGGTGGGGTGGCTCACACCTGGAATCCTAGCACTTTGGGAGGCCAAGGCGGGCGGATCACCTGAGGCCAGGAGTTTGAAACCAGCCTGACCAACATTTGACCAACATGGTGAAACC